GAATGGTTTTCATGTTTCAATGCGAGCAGACAACGCACCATCATCTCAATTATACAACGGAGGTAGAATACCAATCCATCATCCAACCATATTTATTATGTTCTTTGTAGCTTCATGGCGAAGTCTCCTAAAAGTCTTTTAAATCTTTGGATCAAAGGGCTTTAATTATTCGTCACTTTGGGGAGGACACTATTGGAAATGAAAACTAAAATTACTTACAAAATAAAATAATAAAGTAAGAAAAATAAAGAAAAACCTTAATCAAACCGATACTCCCCCACAATGGTGCCAAAAACATGATGCTACGAATATGCTATAGCAATTACGCAAGTGCATGTGTCGTAAACCAAGTAATAAAGTGGTATCAAACTAATGCTACGAATAGCAAACCCATAGGGAGAAATATGTTTTCATTAGAGTTTTTAAGCATAAAAGAATGATGGTATAATATAAATACTAAATATAGAAAATAAATTAAAGAAACACTAGTTCATGCTACAGCACTTCAAAGAGCAATAGGTCAGCTATCAAATAGATGGAAAGGATATTGTGAACATGATACCTTTTGTGAACAGAGCATACTAAATCAAAGTCCTTTTGAACTTCTCTAATTACTTTCAATGATTAAAGGTTCAAAATATTAATAAAGCTAATCGATTGGATGCATGCTTTTAAACGCAGACATTACTACTCAGGAATACAAATTCTATCAAAGGTATATAGAAAATCAACAATTTTTTTTCTAGGAAAAATTGAAATTACCATACATTTAATCTTAAGTATTTATACTCATAATCATAAAGCTTAAAGAACACAAAAGAAATAGCAAAAAAACATAAAATAATAATTGCACAATATCATCCATAATGTTTATAAAGCATCCAAATCACATAATCTCTCAATATATGGGTTCGAAACGTAATTTGCTGACTGTCGATGCTACTTAGCGAGCTCTCATTCTGTTGCATCAATCCCTGACGTGGGCTTAAGCTTCCATGACATACGAAGGATAAACATGAGAAATGGGTACCATGAAATGCCATTTGATCTTCATATTTTTTCATGCTTGCAAGTACGTCCATTTATAGCTATGACGAGATTTCCATCCTCTAATAAGATGCTCACACATTTAAAAAATTTCCCTTGTAATGATCCTCATGCTATGCTATCTGTATACATGCAAACTGAAGATATTTCAGTTAGTATGGTTGCAACCATTGTAACCCACCTTCAAACACCTTCATTAACACATTTTCTAGTGATTTACACATATTCGATCCCATTTATGGTCATACTATGGGTCTAGGGCCTCCTGGGTAACATTTTAGGCTATTTTGGGTAGGGGTTTTGAAAACACCTTAGGTGGGTTCGAAATCACAGTGCAAATTTGCATTCTAAGCAAGGTGTTTCGAAATAAGCTTGGGGGGTTTCAAAACTTCTTTAGCAGATTACACTGTTTCTTACGAGAAAGCTCTCCAAATCACTCTAAAAACTCTCCAATGTCTCTAAATGTTTAATAAAGCTTAAGGAGGTAATTTATGGTCATCTAAAACTATAAAACTCTAACTTTTTAACAAAAATATCATTCATGGTAAGAATAAAACACAAACCATAATATACCAAATTACTCAAATCTTTAACAAGCATTATGATTTATGGAAATCATGACGCCACAAATAATTAGAAATACACTTCCTTGGTTAATGAATCCCTAAATGAGGCTCCTTTAGCTAGCAAACACCCTGTAAAAAGTCTTGGATGTAAAACCCTGATGAGTGTTTAGAATCATTAATCTTTGCTCATTATTTCTTTGGTTTTGAGGAATTATTACTGCTAAATTGTTCGTGTTTTGTTTTTTTTCGTGTAGGTCCTTACTTTCCAAAATTAGTGACAAAACGGGTGCATTCTGCATTTTTTTTATTATTTGGTCACGGTTGGAGACATGGGAACGACTCTGGGCATGACGCGGTCTGACGTGGCATTTTCTAGAAGGTTAAGTCAGCGACAGTTTCTAGAAGACTTCCTTCGCACGCCTTCTAGAAGATTGACGAGCAGAGTTGCATTAGGAGACTAGTTTAAGTTTGAATTTAAATTAAAAAACAATTATCTTTAGGATTATTTTATTTGTTTTCTTTATTTATCCTTTAAGATTTGAGAGGCTATAAATACCCACTTGGGGTAAGCCTAAACTCATCATTCAGATTACAATCTTCTTTTCTCTCTAGTTTTTATAAAAGCTTTCTCTTTTTACTTTTCAAGTTCTTTTCATTTTTCTTTTATTTTTCAAGCTTTGTTTTCAAATGCTAAGTATGACTTTTGTCATGATTAGCTAAACTTTTCATAAGCCAAGAGCTGTCGCGATGACTCAATTCCAAAGGGAGAATTGAAAAATGTTCTTAATATCTTCGGAATATCTCTCTCAATCTCTGCGCTTATTTTTCAAAATCAAAACAGTTTTCAAAATCAAAGATTGACTTTGGCCAAAAGGTTGTTGCGATTAAATGTGTGGGAGGAAGATTTGGCTTATAGAAAGCAATTCGACTTCCTGGGAACACACTTGGCGAGATAACTTCACCAAAAGGGATTTGAGATCGGAATTGATGGTTATTGAAGCAATAATCCGAGTCGGACACCACGAACTTATACGGTAATTGATCTACGACAATTGATGTTGTTAGAATCAATTACCAAATCCAGAATCAAAGATTGCCTTGGGTATTCGGTATACAAGATAGAGTCACAGGGATAGCCCTTGTAGACAAAGTAACCGACGTGAATCCCGAAGAGAAAACCTTATTCGATGATTATAAGGAAATTGAGTCAAAGCGAAGCTTGAGGCTACTTTTACCGTATTTATTCATAATCTTCATCTTCTTATTTTTACTTTAATTGCTTTTAATTATTTAATCGCATTTATTATTTTAATATTCTCTTACCAAAATGTCCCCCATTTTTACTGTTTCACACTTGACATAAATAAATCAGACATAAATTTATAATTTTCTAAGTCCCTGTGGATTCGACCCTTACTTCTCTTTACTACGTATTTCCTTACTTATTTAATTGAGAAAAAGGAATTTATTCGACATCTAAAATGACATTTGTCAAATTGGCGCCGTTGCCGGGGACTTTGCCGAAGTTATTAATTTTTGTTTGCTTTTGATTTATGACCAGGAATAATCCGGGAGCATTAGTGGAGTACGACCCGGAGATCGAAGCCAAAGATAGGAGACTCCAAGCACAGACACTTCGGGAAAGAAGGAGACAACTATCAAATCCAGAAGAAGAATCAAACTCAGGTAATACAATTCCGATGGTCGAACGTACTATCCGGGAGTTAGCCGTGGTACCTACTGAACAAGGGCCTTTTTGCTATGATTTTCCCCAAGGCGAAACTCCATACCAATTAAAAATTGGCCTTATTCATCTCCTCCCTATATTCCGCGGATTGCCAAATGAGGATCCACACAAACATCTCATGGAATTTCATATGGTCTGTACCAGCATGAGACCACAAGGAGTAACCGAGGACCAAATCAAATGTAGAGCTTTTTCTGTTTCCTTAGCCGATTCGGCTAAGAAGTGGTTATTTTATCTTTCTCCTAATTCTATTACTATATGGGCTCAAATGATTTGTTGTTTTCTTGACAGGTTTTTCCCTGCTGCGAAAGTAAGTGAACTACGAAGGAGAATACTTGGAATCAAACAGCTTGATGGAGAGTCACTCTAAGACTACTGGGAGTGGTTTAAGAAGTTATGTTCTAGTTGCCCACAACATGGGTTCACTGAACAAACACTCCTTCAATACTTTTATGAAGGATTATCTCCCCTGGAAATGAAGATGATCGATGCTGCCAACGGAGGAGCCTTGGTGAATATGACTCCTACTGAGGCAAGGGACTTAATATCCACGATGGCTGCAAATTCCCAACATTTCTGCACAAATAATGAACCTTCTCGAAGGGTTCATGAGATAAGTTCATCTTCCTTGGAAAATAAAATAGATAAGTTAACTGAAGTCATAAACTCTCTTATTGCAGGAAAGACAGGACAAAACCGATTATGTGGAATATGTGCATTACCTGATCATTCGACAGATGGTTGTCCAATGATTCAAGATGATGCAGCAGCTCAAGTCAATGCAGTCGAAAATTTTTTGATATACAACCCAGGATGGAGGGATCATCCAAATTTTAGTTATGCTCAAATCTCAAGGCCGGATCAAGGTTATCAAGCGAGACCACCTCCACCACCGCAAATCTATTACTACTAAAGAACCCAAAGCTTTAAATCACTAAAATAATATTATTGGAGGGATTAATAATGAAATCGAAGCTTAAAAGAAGTAGGAAATGATTCAAAGGACTTACCTTCGATTTATGGAACTTGGAGAGGAATAAGAAAGGAAAATGAGAAGGAATAGAAGAAATGAAGAAAATAAGAAGATGAAGAGAAATATAAAGCCTTCATATTTTTAAAATGGGGTAATAGCACTTTTGGTCATTCCTCATCCTTCTATTATTTTAAAATCCCCTTTTTTACGATTAATTTGACTTGATCCTGGCCCAATTAAACCCAATGACTTAAATTATGAAACCTACGGGGGTTAACTTACCTATCAGGTAAACCCAAAACAACTAACTAGAACTTTGGGGTGTTATAGTGGTTATCACCATAATAAACACATGTGATGAGAGATGCAACTTTTACTTTATATTTTCCTCCTGGTTTTTGTAATTTCTTTACCATATCCATCAATACTGAAATCTGAAATGTCATAGGTGTTAAAAGCTTTAGAATCTACTCCTACAACATTGCGCCGACCAAACATAATTCTCATATTGGGATATTGGCAATCATTAGTTGAGATCCTCTCCAGAATATCGTAAGCCTCTTTTTATGTCTTATCTTACAAAGCTTTATTCTTTGAAGGATCGAACACTATAAGAATATGTATGTTTATCCCATTATAAAACATCTTCATTTAGGTCCAATGTGGAAACCCATGCATAGGACATTTTCGCATCAAAGCCTTGAATCCTTCCCATGCTTCATACAAGGTTTCATCCTCCATTTACTTGAATGAAGGTAAACCATTTAAAGTATTGCATTCATGTATGTTTTCCGGGTTGAATCGTAACAAAATTTATGCTCTAACTCATTTCAGGATGCTATAACACCTAGTGGCAGTGAACTCAACCAAGCACAATCTTTATCACACTGCGAATAAAGAAAAAACTTCAGCTTTAGTGCCTCCTCTAGAACACCTTGCTGAATAAAGGAATCATAAATCTCCATGAATGCTCTCAAATGAGCCCGAGGATCTTCAACAACAGACCCTTCATACTATCCCTTAAATTGTAACATTTGAAGCATGACCTTCTTTAACTCAAAGTTCGCAAAATTAATCATTGACCTTACTATGCCTAGATGCAGATCATTCAATGTCGGCACTACATGCTTGCAGATAGGTGGATAACGATCATCCATGTTTTGAAAGGCTTTTCCTACTCTAAGACGAGTAGGAAACGCACCGTCCTCTCCATTCTACAACGGGGTAGAATATCAATCCCTCTTTCAACCATATTTCTTATGTTCTTTGTAACTTCATGGTGACGTCTCCTAAAATTCCTTTAAATCTCTGGATCAAAGGTATTTAATTCTTTGTCACTTCGGGCATACACTATTGGAAATGAAAACAAAACGTACCTACAAAAAAAAAATAACAAAGTAAGAAAAATAAAGAAAACCCTTAATCAAACCAATGCTCCCCAGAAATGGTACCAAAAACTTGATACATATATGCTATAGCAGTCATGTATCGTAACCAAGTAATAAAGTGGTAGCAAACTAATGATACAAATATTGAACCTATAGGGAGAAATATGTTTTCATTAGAGTTTTCAAGCATAAAAGAATGATGGTATGGAATAAATGCCAAGTAAAGAAAATCAATAAAATAAAAACTAGTTCATGCTACAACAATTCAAGGAGCAATAACTCAGCTATCAAATAGATGGAAAGGACATTGTGAACATCATACCATATATGAACAAAGCATACTAAATCTATGTGAGTTACATTGATTAAAACCATTTGAACTTCTCTAATACTTTCGTTGATTAAAGGTTAAAAATATTAACAAATATAATCAATTGGATACATGTTTTTCAACACACACATTGCTACTCAGCAACACCAACGCTATCAAAGATATATAGAAAATCAACCAAATCTATTTATAGAAATAATTGAAATTACAATACATTTAATATTTCTACTCATAATCATAAAGCTTCAAGAACATAAAATATGTAGCAAAATAAACATAAAATAATAAATACACAATATCATCGACAAAGTTATGAAGCATCTAAATCACTCTCTCCCAATAGACGGGTACGAAAGGTGATCTATTGACTGTCGAAGATAGTCAACGAGCTCTCCTTGTACTACAACAATCTCTGGCAGGGGTTTAAGTTTCCATGGCATATGAAGGATAAACATGAGAAATGGGTACCTTGAAATGGCTTCCGATCTTCATATTTTTCAAGCTTGCATGTATGCCCATTAATAACTATGATGAGATTTCCATCCTCTAATAGGATGGTCGCACGTTTCAAAAAATATCCCTCGCAATGATCTTTAGTCTTTACTATACGCATACGTGCTCAACTAAGATATTTCACTTAGTATGGTTGCATCCATTGTAGCCCACCTTTAAACACCTTTCTTAACACTTTTTCTAGTGTTTTACATATATTTGTCCCATTAACGGTCATAGTATGGGTCTAGGGCCTCCTAGGTAACATTTTTAGCCGTTTTGGACATTTTGGGTAGGGATTTTGAAACCACCTTAGGGTCAAATCATAGTGCAAATTTGAATTCTAAACAAGGGTTGCAACATATTACACAATTTCTTACGAGAAAGTTCTCCAAATCACTCTAAAAAATCTCCCAATGTCTCTAATTGTTTAATAAAGTTTAAAGAGTTTATTTAGGGTCATCTAGCACTATAAAAACACTAACTTTATTAACAACAACATCATCAATGGCAATAATCAAACACAAACACTAATATACCAAATTACTCAAATATTTAACAAGCATTATGATTTATGGAAATCATGACACCACAAAGAATTAGAAATACACTACCTCTGTTAATGAATCCCTAAATGAGGTTGCTTTAGCTAGCAAACACCCTCTACCAAGTCTTGGATGTAAAATCCCCAATTCTCTTGTAACCAAAGAACCCAAAGATTTAAATCACTAAAATAAGGTTGCTGGAGGGTTTAATAATGAAATCTAAGCTTAAAAGGAGTAGGAAATGACTCAAAGGACTTACCATCGATTTATGGAAATTGGAGAGGAAGAAGAGAGGAAAATGAGAATGAATAGAATAAATGAAGAAAAGAAAAAGATGAAGAGAAATATAATGCCTTCATCTTTTTAAAATGGGGTAATAGCACTTTTAGTCATTCTTCATCCTTCTACTATTTTAAAATCTCATTTTTTATGACTAATTCAGTTTGATTATGACCCAATTAAACCCAACGACTTCAATTACAAAATCTACGGGGGACCACTTACCTCTCAGGTAAACCTAAAACTATTAACCCAAACTTTGGGGTGTTACAGTGGTTATCACCACAATAATCACATGTGATGAGAGATCCAACTTTGACTTCTTACATTACTCCTAGTTTTTGCAATTTCTTTACCAAATATGTCAATGATAAAAATCTGAGATGTCATAGTGTTAAAAGCTTCATAATCTACTGCTGCAGCATTGCGCCAACCAAACATATTTGTAATATTGGGATATTAGCAATCATTAGTTGAAATCCTCCTCAGAATATCGTACACCTTTTTTTATGTCTTATATAACAAAGTTTCATTTGTTGAAGCATCGACCACTATATGAATAAGTATGTTTAACCCATTATAAAATAAATCCATTTTGGTCCAATGTGGAAATTCATGTATAGGACAGTTCCGCAGTAAAGCCTTGAATCTTTCCCATGCTTCATACAAGTTTTCATCCTACATTTACTTGAATAAAGTTAAACCATTTCGAAGTTTTGCATTCATGTTTGGCGGGTTAAATCGTAACAAAAAACTATGCTCTAACTAATTCCAGTATGCTATAACACCTAGTGGCAGTGAACTCAACCAAACTCGTTCTTTATCACACAGTGAAAAAGGAAAAAGCTTTAGCTTTAGTGCCTCCTCTAGAACACCTTGCTAAATAAAGGAATCATAAACCTCCTGATACATGCATTACAAGGCTCACATTAAAGAAAGAAGTAATAACTCTTGCAAATGATCCACTCGTCCAAGCATTGGAAAAGAAGATCAGAACAGAAACATACTTGCGACGACTTTTTGAATGGGATCCTGATCTTATTTAGTTAAGATGTCTTCTAGATATACGACCTTCTGTCTCTTATCTTTCCAACGGTTCTTGAATCGCATCAATCCGATATTGGGAACTTAAGATTTGGCCATTTTACTGAAGACGAGGCATGCAGAAAATCCTATACGGGATTAATACGGGATTTTGTAAATATTACGAATTTTCAATATTTTTATTGATTATTTGTAATATAACTTAATATAGGATGATGCATTATCTTTTAGGATTAGATTTATTATTTTATTATGAATTAAGGTTGGGTTAAAATATTATTTTTAGTTATTATTATTTTATTATGAATTAGAGTTAAGACATGTTTAATTTATTATTATTTTATTCATTAGTTATTTAGGACCTTTATAACTCAGCCCCTATATAAAGGAGGCTTCATTCAAATTTTTAATTAATATTTCTTTGATTAATAATACAACGGAGTTCGTTTTTGCAAGTGCTGATTGCCTTGTGCCTTCGAAGCTTCTTCTCCTTGAGTTTTTGCGAGTTCTTGTGAGGGAGATTAATCTTCACACTCCAATTTGCCTTTTCATCGCGACTAGGAGGGTTGGTTAGAGACATATTATCGTGTTTTCCTTTTCATTGCGACTAGGAGGGCTCGATAGGACATTATCCATCGATTTTTCACATATCCATCCACGCCATCAATCATCTTTATCGTTCACCTTCATAAGAGAGATCTTTTGATATCTTGGTTATCTTATTTTATTTGCAATTCCTTTATCTTTTCTCTATCTTGTTCTAATCTTGTTTCTTACCTTGTTTCCAGCACCTAAAAGAAACTCTAAGAACCCTTCTTGCTACCGCCACCTTCCCCTATTCGTTCCCCATTATTCTTCATCGAGTCTAGAGCTTTCTAGGTTTGATTCTTCAACAATAGCAACGTTCATTAACCCGCCACCTCTTACCTATCAATTGGTATCAGATTTGGGCCGATTCTTGGAAAGAAGAAAGCAATCTTGCTTGTTCTTGCACACAAAACCGTCAAGGTACCCCAACGGAGCTAGTTCGTAGAAGATTCATCATTTCAGATTCTTTTTATTTAATTTTAATTTAGACTCAAATCCTTCTTGTTAGGTTGCTATTTTTAAAAAACAAAAAACAAAAAAAAAACAATAAAGCCAAAATTTCAAAAAAAATTGCAAATGAAGGTATTTAGGGCTTATTTTCTCCAGATATCATATTCATCCTAATATAAATATCCATTCCAAAATTCACTCAAATCGGAGTTCATTAGATCCTTCAAATACATCCTTCAAGTTTCATCGACAGATTCGGTCTTGGATCTTGTTGAATTGCTTGAAAATTCTACAGGAAGAATTTCATGGTGAAAATTTCCAGATTGTAACTTCATATATTCAAGAACTTTCACACAAAAAATAGAAATTTTTGGAGATCAAGAACACCTTCAAACAAAGCGATAACGAAAAACAGATTGTTTAAGGACTCACCGTTCAACAGAGTCTACTGGATACTACTGAAGCTATTTGGTTCTGAAATTTTACAGGTGGTTTCTTGACGTATCTAAAGACAATCAAGAATTTTCCAAAATTATTGGACACCGGTAACCCCCTAAAAAATGTTGCTCAAGTTGATCCAGTGTTTTCTAGGTTTTCTGGTTTGGTTCTTTTTTTTTTCTTTGACTCTTAGTGCTTTAGGTTCTTTTATTTTTCCTTTTTATTGTTCTTTTGCATTATCTAACACATTATCTTTCTTGTGTTAGTAGGATTAAAGAGTTTGCATACTTCTTCCTCCCTTGCATTCTCGTTCTCTTGGAGTCTAACCCTTGTTTGGCCTCTTAGAACTTTTAGGTTTTCTTATCGCCTTTGCTAGTAATCAAACTCCGATACGAACTGTGGAAGACTACTTGGTAAAGTGAGTTTTAAAGAGTACAAGATCGGCTTACTTGCCTCTCGTTGTGTTACTTTCTTGGAGTGACTTGTGAGGTTTCTTGTTTTGTTGAATTTTCTTTCTTTTATTTTTATTTTACTTTAAAATTTTCTTTCAAGTGTTATGATTTCAGGATGGGCGACAATAACAACAAGACACTTACGGCTATCTTATCCGCACTTGCCCAACTCACGACTCAAGTTGAAAGATTTGATGAAATTGTGAGAGAACGACAAGAACCACAACTGGATCTATCAAACTAGAATCCAAGACCAAACAATGCTGAACTTTTGGTACCCGGGCGAGAAAAACCACGTTTCCAAGCACTCAAACTCTTTGTAAAACCAAAGTTCACGATCTCGTCTTTCAAAGGAGACAACGATCCAGACAGGTACATCGAATGGGAAGGAAAAGTTAATCTCATGTTCTCATACCATGACTGCCCCCAAGCTAAACAAGTTCACCTCATCACCATACAATTCGAAGGATATGCTCGAACTTGGTGGATGCAAACAAGGAAAAAGATATAGAACTTCCAAATTCCAACAATCACTTCTTGGATCGACCTCAAACATACCATGAGGAAGCAATTCCTACCGGCACATTATACACGAGAAGTTAAACTACGACTACACCGACTTCGACAAGGTAGAAGTTCAGTTGAAGACTACTACAAGGAGATGATGTCCTTACTCAATAGGGCTAACATAACCAAAAAAGAAGAGGTCACCGTGTCAAGATTCGTCGTCGGCTTAAACTCAAACATCACTGATCTTCTTGATCTCCAAGGGTACGAAAACCTTGAAGATACACTAAAGAAAGCAATGACAATTGAAGCACAAATCCAAAGGAGATTTCGATTCATAGAACATAACCAAGGTATTTCATCCTCTTACCAAGGTAATCCTTCAAATCCTTCCTCATCTTCTACTCCATATTCTCAAAAAAAGCCAAGAGATGCAAACATGACAAGGAGAAAGAACGACTAGCAAAGAATGACACACTTCCAGCCCCTAAAGATCAATGATAATTTGTGAGGATGTAGGGAAAGCAAAAAAAAGAAAAAGATGAGAAAGAGGCAAAAGCAAAAGAGGTCACTAGTTACAAAAGCCAAAAGAATAATGACCCATGGGAGGTGAGTGGACCTAATTGTGAGAAGAAAAGAGTGACACAAAATCTTTGTGTGAGCACAAAAGAATTGAGAGAGAACCTTCTTTACAAACAACCTTCCATTCTTGTTCACTTTAGGGAATCAATTGTTTCGATTTCTAACATTAACAATGATTTTCCTAGTGTGTTTTCATGTTTGTTACAGGATTTTCGAGAAGTGTTAGGTCATTCACCTAACGAATTACCACCGACAAGAGGAAAACTACACCAAAGCAATCTAATTCAAGGTTCCATTATACCTCGTCAAGCATACAATCTCGAAGAAATCAAAGAGTTAGATTTGTTACAAAAAGGCTACATCCAGGAAAACCTTAGTCGTGATGCCATCTTAAGGACGAAGCATAACTTGAACAACTCCACAGGCTTTATAGTTTGTGCACAGGGAATCAATGTAAATGATGAGAAAGTAAAACAACACGAGACTGGCCCACACCATCTTCCATCGCCAAGAGTTGTCGAATAGTGCTAGGTGACCCTCCTGACGGGTTACCACCTGAAAGCCCTAATCACTATGCCATATCAATGAAGAGTCACGATTTACGAGAGTCTAAAGATTCGAGGATGAATCCTTTTGAGGAGTGGGGGAATGATACATGCACCAGAGTCCATAATACATGATTCTTTGGACTAATGTTTCTACTCGAACCTATTAGAAGGACAAAGTCTCGAAGATTCAAAGCACATCTATTCGGTAAGTATAATGTGAATGAATCATTAAACGATTCTGATGTTGCTCCCTTTAATTTTTCAGATTCAGGTCGAATCTTTTTGAAGAAAGGGAGGATGATACATGCATCACAAGGCTCACATTAAAGGAAGAAGTAATAACTCTTCCAAATGATCCACTCGTCCAAGCATTGGAAAAGAAGATCAGAACATAAGCAGACTTACGATGACTTTTTGAATAGGATCTGATCTTATTTAGTTAAGATGTCTCTGGAGATACGACCGTCTGTCTCTTATCTTTCCAACGGTTCTTGAATCGTATCGATCCGATATCGGGAACTTATTATTTGGCCATTTTACTGAAGACGAGGCATGCAGAAAATCCTATACGGGATTAATACGGGATTTTGTAAATATTACGAATTTTCAATATTTTTATTGATTATTTGTAATATAACTTAATATAGGATGATGCATTATCTTTTAGGATTAGATTTATTATTTTATTAGGAATTAAGGTTTGGTTAAAATATTATTTTTAGTTATTATTATTTTATTATGAATTAGAGTTCAGACATGTTTAGTTTATTATTATTTTATTCATTAGTTATTTAGGACCTTTATAACTCAGCCCCTATATAAAGGAGGCTTCATTCAACTTTGTAATTAAGATTTCTTTGATTAATAATACAACGAGAGTTCGTTTTTGCAAGTGCTGATTGCCTTGTGCCTTCGAAGCTTCTTCTCATAGAGTTTTTGAAAGTTCTTGTGAGGGAGATTAATCTTCACACTCCAATTTGCCTTTTCATCACGACTAGGAGGGTTGGTTAGAGCCATATTATCGTGTTTGCCTTTTCATTGCGATTAGGAGGGCTCAATAGGACATTATCCATCGATTTTCCACATATCCATCCACGCCATCAATCAT